AATAGAATAGAATAGAATAGAATAGAATAGAATAGAATAGAATAGAATAGAATAGAATAGGATAGGATAGGATAGGATAGGATAGGATAGGATAGGAATGGAATGGAATAGGAATGGAATGGAATTGGAATTGGAATTGGAATTGGAATAGGAATAGAATAGAATAGGAATAGGAATAGGAATGGAATGGAATAGAATAGAATAGAATAGAATAGAATAGAATAGGAATGGAATGGAATGGAATGGAATGCAATGGAATAGAATATGAGTGGAATGGAATTGGAATTGGAATTGGAATAGGAATAGGAATTGGAATAGGAATAGGAATAGGAATAGGAAAGGAATGGAATGGAATGGAATGGAACGGAACGGAACGGAACAGAACAGAACAACACAAAGGATGAAAAGAAATATTTTGAAGAAGTGGCCATGTAGAATAGCAGGACCTAGGTCACAGGAGTCAAACTCGTGGCATCACATTACCATCACATAATGTTTTGTGACGTTTTTCCCATTCGCAGAGCTAGGGTGGGTGTGGCCTGTCCATGACGCATCCAGCCCAAGGGCCGCCAGTTGGACACCCCTGAATCCTAGGTCCTTTTGGCTGATTTCGAAAGCCTAAGTAGGGCTGGTCCTGGCTAATATCACCAGGAAATACTTAGCCTGTAGAGAAAGTATTTACTTTACTTTACTGGAAAGTAAAACGTAATGCCAAAAGAAATGAAAAGACACCTCTATAACGTTGCCAATACTTCTGCATATACATGTCCTTGAAATCCCCGGAGCCAAACCTGACTTGAAAGTGACATGAGGTTACAAAGAAATGAGAGGTCTGGTACCCTTGCTTGTTTACCGCTGTATCCCTAGCTTCATTTCCCTTACCTGGTTTCTCTGCTTCATCCCAACCTGAGTATGGATTCCACATCTTGGAAAAATGAACGTTGACTTCATGGGTCTCCATGCTTTCTGAGGAGCCAGAGGGGAAGTGCTCCAGGTTAGAGCAAATACTCTCTAGGATTTGGGTTCATCTGTAAAACTACGGAGAAAGAAATGTTTATTGAAGAAACTGTATCTCACAAATGATAGGGGGTCTTCTGCTTCCTGTATCATTTGTGAGATTAACCCGGGCTGTCTAAAAACAAAAGCAAAAGAGGCGGAAAAGCCTTCTGTGCCATCCCGTGAAGAGACAGTACCGAGCCGGAACTGGAACTTTTGCAGTATCTGTACCTCTGAAGCACGTAGGCTTGAGCTGGGTACAAAACTGGGCTACGAACCTAGTTGTATAGATTCTATAGTGCATGATCACCTGTTGCAGCTTTCAAAAGAGTTTGAGCATTACTTCCCCATCGCAAAAGACCCCAGGCTGGGGAAGGAATGGATCTGGAACCCATTTGTGAACAAGCCAGGGGAATCAACTTTAATCCTATAAGAAGAGGAACAACTAGTTGAGATTGCAAATGATGGTGGCCTTCAATCCATGTTTGAAACAACTTCAAATCTCTTTGCATTCTGGAGTAAAGTCAAAGCAGAACATCCTGACATTGCCACAAAAGCACGGAAAGTCCTGCTTCCATTTTCAACCTCTTATCTTTGTGAGGCGGGGTTTTCTGCATTGACAGCAACAAAAACAAGACTACGGAGTAGACTGGATATAAGGAATACAATTCGAGTGTCACTGTCTCCCATCACCCCCAGATGGAACCGTCTATTTGCAGGAAAACAAGCCCAGAGCTCCCACTGATTCTACATTTTGGTGAGTTGATATTATAGTGTAATAGTAAATAAAATAAAAATAAAAATAAATAAATAAATAATATTAAAATATAAATAATAAATAATTTTTTTAAAAAAAAACCTAACCCCTACCCGGTCCTTGAAAAAGTGTTTCTGCGTGAAACTGGTCCCTGGTACAAAAAAGGTTGGGGACCACTGGTATAGAAGACCCCAAGAACTTCTACAGTAGTCTGTAAATAGGATCTTCTATCCATAGAGAAAGCACACCCTACGACCCCTTTTTTAAGGACCAAAAAGAAAAAAGAAGAAAAGACCATGGGAGATACACTGAACAGAAAAGAGACTAATACTGGCCCAAGAATATACGGGAAAGCATGAAGAAAGTGTAGTGAAGGAAAGAACAGAGAGGTTGAACAAGACTCTGAACAAGAGCTGAGTACCTTGGAGGCTATGGACGACAGGAAAGGATAGTGCCTGCAAGACTTTTCCTGAGGATTGACAGCACTGCACTGAATTTTCTCTCCCGTAAGGTAGCATCAGCTGAAACAGACCCTATGAATGATAAATGTGACGCTTGTCCTGACGTCTTGGCTTCAAGGAAATTCCAGATGCTTCCCGTGTTCAGCAGCCAAGAAGCCATATATTTTAATCATTTATCCAGGGCAATGGATTAATGGATAGATACATATCTATTGCTTCTACTAGTACCTACATTTTTATTGCCATTGAGGCCATATCTAAACTGCAGGGAGGATTCTTCATTATTTGGAAGAGAGGTTAGACATGTTAGCCAAAAGGTCAGAAAGATTTAGCTGGGCTGGATCTATGCCTGCCTTAATACAGGTGTTGTTTTTTTTTACCTTGTGTTGACTTGATGCTAGGCTTAAGTGGTAAGAACCTGCCCTGGAATGGCCTGGATTCAGATGCTCAATCCATGTCTGTTGGTGCTACTTCAGGCTCTTGTTCCTTTGTGTTCCCTTACCTGCTGCAGGTGAGATACTCAGGGGAAACATCACAAGGCTACAGGCTAGGTCCACAGTCCCCTTGCAGACAAAGTAGAGAAACATTATGCCCTTTATACACCAGACAGGAGCAAAGTCTAAAGAGTTGCATGTTGCTTCTTACATCAACATTTTTCCCCCCCTGACTCCCTTCTCAGAAATTCCTTTAGTTAATTGCTAACTTTTACATAATTCAGAGTTATGGACTGAAATGACCTCTTGCCATGTTGATACGGTATAAGCTAAGCCCAAACTGCCCAGCATACCAGGACACTCAAGCTACCTTTCTAAATATGGGAGCGCTTAAGCCTCAGAAATTAGTCTGGTTTTTGCTTCTCAAAGATCTTGCCCCAAGGAGGGCTTTGGAGATCTAACGAAGTGTTTCCAAATAATTTTTAGTAAGATAAAGCAGTGACAGAGAACCTTTCTTGGCCACTAACTCATTTGAAATGGTGTGATAGCATCTGTGGTAGGTTCACAAAATTGTGATATAGAAGGCATGACCAGTGATAAAAAACCAATTTATCAGAAAGCAAAGTAGCACCTCCAAGAATACTCTTGGAGCACTTAGACTTATATATACTGCTTCATAATGCTTTACAGCCTAAGCAGTTTGCAGTCAGCATATTGCTGCCAATCTGGTTCCGCATTTTACCAATCTCAGAAGGATGGAAGGCAAACTTGAATCAGTCAGAATCGAATTCCTGTCAGTGGACTGCAGTTAGCCTACTGCATTCTAAACACCATGCCACCACAGCCCCTAGAAGACCTTTGTGAGGCTTATAAGCAATCCTGTAATATATAGCATCCTTCCCCACACCTGACCATCTCCTGAACTTCTGCTGGGTCCTTTGCAACACCCAATAGAAGTTCAGAAAGGGATGGTGCATGGCCAAACACCTCCAACTATGCATTGCTAGTGCATAGTGGACCGGTCCAGAAAGCACCTGTATGTCATTCATATCCATTAGGTGAGAGTGCACATTCTATGCTGTTGCCTTGCGTGGGCCTAAAAAGTAAATTATGACTTATTATACTAATTATAATGCTGTGTATAAATTGGATGGTGTGGTCACATTTGGATAAGTGCATTCCTTTCTGACAAATTTATAGTACCTGGAAATGTATATGGCACAGCGATAAAAAATGCAAAGTAAGATAACTAAAATGATGAAAAATAATTTTCTTATCAAGGAAGATTAAAGTGTTTGGTGCCATTTAATATTGGGAAACAAAAAAAAAATAGATATATCATATGTTAGAGATGTGCGACTTTATTTTAAAAATGAACAATAGGTTATTTTCCCCTGTTTCATACAAGAACTAGAATGTATAATTGCTTGCTGAGTAACTGGGAGTAGATGTTGCTATTAATTTTATACATTGTGCCTTCCCTTTTCTTCCTTCCTTTGACTTGGGAAAGGCAAAAGAAAGTACTTCAAAGAGTTCACAGCTATGAAATTTCCTGCTGCAAAACATGGTATAGATAGAGAGTGACTTGTTTAAAGAATGCTAAATAAGCTCAGGGCTTGCAAGGCAAACAGAATATCTACATTCAGAGGCAGCCTAGATATGAATATCAAGCATGGGGGTAGGTGTTGGCCTTCCAGTGTTAAGAAGAGGTCTTGGGGATCGGCCTTTTGGTCTCCACAGGAGCAGAAAACAGATGTCCCCAACTTGGTGGCCTCCTGATGAATAGCAATCATTACTTCTAGATTATCCAGTCTTAGTATGGCCATGCTGGCTGAGACTGATGCACAGGCCCAGTTTTTGGAAAACTAACCTTGATTCTTGATTCGGTGGGGCTTTTGTGGTTTTCACCCCTATCACTATCTCCATTCTTGTGTACTAAAAACAGAATGGTTTGTTTTACAGGTATGCAGGAGGTGGAATATAATCAATTTCATTTAATCTAGAAGCAAATTCCAATGTCGGCGTTCCAGCAAACCTCCATTCCAATCAATAACTTTGAGACAGACATATTAGACATATCTCAAAGGTAACTGGTACATCTGTGGAATCCTGAATCTGAAAGTTCCAGGCTTCCTTGAAAAAGTCAAAACTACAAATCCATCCCCACTTAGCCATCATCACATCACATGGTCCAATCACCATCTGCCCTAAAGTAAGATTCCCATTTCATTATGTGCCACACTCAGTGACCTTGAACCCCCCAAAATAATTGTATTTTGTCCAACTAGATATACTCAAATGAATTCCTCCCTCCCACTTTCTCAGGCTCAATTGTGGCAGCGTGTGAGCATCGAATCTCAATATGGCTTCCAAAGCTGACATCCAGTGGATTTCATGTGAGGGAATTCTCCAGAAAATATTCTCTCATAAAAATCAGCTAATAATCTTTTTAGGTTACCTAAATTTCAATATAAACCCCAAATACGTTTTCTAGTGGATTTCCTTTTTCTGCCTTAATCCAGCAGGTTTTAGAAGATTCAGATATAGAAGCCCACACTGGGCAATGCAAAAATCTAGAGCACTAAATAGGCACAGAAGGACACAGAAAACTATAGCACAAATGGCCAGATTTTGCAGGTAGCCCTCTTAAAAAAGGAGGTGGAAATGCTTTAAGGTGATTATGTTTTTAACAAATGACCTTAAAGCAAAAATCAGAAGCAAAGGCTTATGCAGAAACAATAAACAGCCTGGCTTTTGTGCACAGGACTCCTCGCCCTCCCATTACTTAGCTGGCAAAGGTAACCCATCCTCCGAATCTCTTCAGCGGTGCCCCTGAAAGTATTAAAGCACCCAAGCCTCCATCAAACCTGGGCTTTGAAAACACCTCCCTTTAATTGACCATTATCTTCAATCTTTACTCTGACAGAGATTTTCCATCCATAAGAGAAACTCTAAAACCAACAACTGATTGCTAAAGCTGACAACTGAATATATAGATATTCTGTATAGTCCTATTGTATGTATATATGCTTTCATTTTACCACAAAAAAGGCACACACCGCGTATCTTTGTATACATGAAAATATTTCTAAAAAGAGATTTGGGTCAAATTGTGCTAAAAGCTTCAGCTAAATTAAAAATAATTGGGTGAGGGATCACATAAAAAATGGGAAAAAAGAAGGAATCTTTCATTTGGATCACATGACAAAATTCCTAAGTTAGCCAAGTCCCTAGATGAATATTTCATTGTATCTTATTACTTTTTTAAAAAAAAATCTTCCTTTTTTGTTGTTTTCTTTTGAGCCATAGAGTTGATCTTGACTACAAGACCAGACCTTGAAGGTTTTTTGGCAAGGTTTTTCAGAAGTGGTTTGCTTTTGCCTCCTTCCTAAGGCTGAGAAAGTCATGTCTAAAGTCCCAAAGATGCTTTTTAAAAGGCCAACTGGACTTCCTTTGTTTTTCCTTGAAGACATTTAGCTTCTCATCCAAGAAGCTTCTTCAATTCTTCAGTTCAGAACTGAAGAAGTTTCTTGGATGAGAAGCGAAATGTCTTCACAGAAAAACAAAGAAAGTCCAGTTGCCTTTTGAAAAAACACTTCTGGGACAACTATGAACTGGATGACTAAGAATCTCCATAATCATGTCTAAAGCTGTATTAGAACGCACACTCAGTATTGAAGATTACACAGAATATATTATAGAAAGAAGAGTAATATGAAGAATTTTAGAGAGATGTCAAAATATATTTGTACTTATAACTGCTGTGAATATCAGAAACCTTTATACCTTTTTTCAGAAATCAGAAAACTTTATACTCTTGCCTTTCTTTTCTTTTTTCTTTTTTTGCACTTTTTCCTTTCTCTTTTTCCTTTTCCTTTTCTTACTGTCTACAAGTTTGTATTAGATTTTACCTTCTTATTTAAAGGTTTTAGTACAAATTATAGTGCAAAAAATAGAACTCACAATTCTCCGGTTTTCATCCTAATGCATTAAAACTACACCAAACTGGTCTTCTTCCTTTTTAAAAATATTTTAGTTAGGGCTGCTAGATCTGGGGTTCATTAACTCAGAAGACCACTAGATAGTGTCAAAGAGAGAAAGTACGGTACACTTCCTTTACTGCCATCTATTGGTCAACAGAATATATGCAGTTTAGACTTAGCAGCCTTGACTTGCTGAGAAGTGGCTAAAATACAGCTACAACACACTAAATAAAATAGTATTTGATATACATGGTGATGCACATATGTTAAATTCCTTTTTATTACATTATTCCATGGGTTATATTATTTGTTTACATGATTTTGGACATATCCTGTTCTTTATCTAGTTTACATCACATATGCTTCATTATTCCATAATTGGATTGTTCTTTAGATTTTGAGGCAACTTTAGGCTTTGATTTGTTCTCAGATGCAGTTACCTAACCAGACACATGCCTATTTAATTCACAGCTTTCTTTGCAGGAATAAGCAGCATCTGAAAAATAAAATACAAAAACTGACTTGAAAAGATATGCTCACTGAGTGTGAAATCAACGGCCATGTGCAAAATTAGAAATAAACAAAAGATTTCAGGAAGATGCATCTGCTAAATATGTAGGCATAAAGACAGAATGCGTGAAT